CCGCCGCCGTCGTCACAAAGCACCTTTAACGACTCGCCAAACTCAACTCCTTCATGCGTTTCCTAGCAAACTCTCTCTGAGTGGAGTTCCTAAATATGGGAAGAGTACAGACACGTCGAAACATTTTGGGACGAAGAACGCGGAAATATGTAAAACTTACGCGGAGTTTTAACGGTTTGAAGCTTGTAATTCAAAATAAGTAGTAACGCGTAAGAGCTACACATGAAAGTCTAATTTGCTATGTTCAAAGTGATACATTTTCGGATAATAATACGATTTCCCGTCACTATAAAGACACAAAAATGAATTACCTCTGGACTTATTTTTTGGGTACACTAAGATGCACTGGGAAAAAAGTCTCCTAGATCTGGAGTCCAGACTCTTAAAAAAATAGACAGGAAAAAATACGCTTGATTCGATCGGATTTTTGCTGGAATTGAAAGCCGCATCTGAATTTAAGCAGATTTTGTCATGATGCAACCAAAAGCCGATTGAATCATAAGTGTTTTCCCCTGACAAATATTTTATGAGTATGGACTCTGGATCCAAGAGACTTACTTTTCTGGCGCTAGCTTTTCGTCAAAGTCTCAGAGTTTGAATCTTTGAGCTGCGTCGAGGAGAACATCTCCACAGAAAATGTTGCTTAGGGGACTAAAAGGCAGTTTGTAAGATCTTTTGTCAACCTCTGGTCACCAAACCAGTGGTCAGACTCTGACCAGCAGTCAAACTGCTAATTAGCCTAACTACCGGTTTGCGAGAAAGAACAAAAGCTGACCGGGACTTGACCTGAGGAAAACCGGGTGTCATACACACCTATCTCTGATCAAGCTCTGGTCAGCTCCAGACTACCACTTTGACAAGCACTTGACCAGAGGCCTTACAATCGGCCCTAAGGTGCCTTTTCTTGCGGACAGTGGCAGAGACTAGAGTCCCTTTATACTGAGAGTCAAGACAATGTGAATCCATTTCTGATTGGTTCCCGTATTTTAGGCCTTCACAGTGTCACAAACGGGAATAAAGATTACATTTTCACCGATTGCAAAGATTATAATCTGGAATGGACCGGGGAATTACGGGTTCGGCAAGGAACAAACGGAATGAGAGAAGGAACGGAGAAAGGAATTTGAGAATGGTCCGATCAAAGATTACAAAAACCGTTCAATTTCTGTAATCTTTATATTCCCGTTTGTGACTCCATGAGGGGGTGTTGTCTTGACTCTCAGTATAAAGGGACTCTAGCATAGACTTGGAAATAGAGGGAAAACGGCTTACCTGACGAGAAATTCGACATGGGGACGCTCTTGTCGATGCAGTCGGCCACGTCGGAGGCATCCCCGACGTAGATCTGGAGGAGCTCCTTGACGTACTCCTTGAGGTCGGAGGCGTCCGCGGGCTGGTTGAGGAACATCTGTTGCGGCGGGGTGGGCGCCGGCGGGGACGTCGGGTGGGCGCCCCTTTCTTTGGTCGAACTAGCTGGCTCGCTATCACAGGAGTTCGAGTCGGAGTACTCGTCGCAGCGCCGGGAGGCGGCCCCGTCGCTCGTGCTCAAGTCCATGGGCGTCGCCGCGGCCGCCACGTTCTGGTTCGTCAGGTCCTCGATCGTGAAGCCGGTCTTGGGGGTGGGCGCCTTGGGCGGCGGGGTGGGCGCCAGTTTGAACTTCTTGGCGCCGCGGACGATGGCGCCCGTGAGGTCGAGGGCGTCGCTCTCGGCGGGCGCCTCGGGTTCCTCGTCGCTGGCGTGGTCGTCGCTGTTCTCCGCGTAGGGGAAGTTGGTCGTCGGCTCCGTGAGGAAGATGCTGCGGGGCTTGAAGTTCTTCCGCTTGTTGCGCTTGCTCCCGGGGGCGTCCATGCTCAGGTGCTGCTCGAAGACGGAGAGCGAGGGGGCGTCGGGGGCGTCGAGGGCGTCCGGGGCGTCCTCCACCTCGGAGTCGACGTCGTCGGACATGGCGGCGTCGAACTGCTCGCCCCCTCCCCCGCCACCCCCGCTCCCGCCGTTGTGGTGCAGCTGCGTCTTCGGCATGAAAATCACCCCTGCTATGTCCCGCTCTGACATCGCGCAGATCATGAGAACGTCTGAAACAGAAAGGAAAACAGGAGCCGTTAGTCCAAGTTAGGAGAGAATCTACCTAGAGAACAATACTGTCGTGCTAAGAAAAAACGGCGTATGAACATTCGTGGGTTGCCAAATTTCCTCCAACAAAATATTTATTTTTGAGGAGAGTTATCAATATTTTCTCTTGAAATTTTCTAATGACACGAATCTATTTACGAAGAAAATTCTCTGAAAAACTGAAAGGAAAATATTCACAAGTTTTCCTGAAAATTTGTATTTGATCCATGGAAATTTGGCAACTAAAGAAGGTCTATACGTCGTTTTTCCTTAATACGGCAGAGTAGGGGCGCTAGAGACAAAGGCGGATACACCCAAATTTTGGGTGATGTGATTATTTCAGCCTCGCTGGGGAAGAACGACGTATGAACCTATAGACGTTGCCACATTTCTATGGAGAAATCACAGATTATCGGGAATTTGGTGGATGTTTTTCTTGACAAAAGTTGGTTGATGATTGTATGATCAGCCCAAGGTAGCGTAATTTTTTCACTATAAAAGCAAAATCTCGTAAAGAGTATGATTACTCTCGTGGAGTTACGCTGTTTAGCGCAACAGTACCTACGTCTAACCTAAAAGCAACTGGATTTTGTCGGATATTTTACTCTCAATTTTTCAGAGAATTCTGTTCGTGATTTGATCTAAAAACTAAAAATTTCAAGGGAAAACACCCATGACTTTCTTCTGTACCTACAATAAAATTTCTAGGAAAAAATTTGACAAATCTCGAAGGTTCAAATGGCATTTTTCCTCGGCACAGTAGATTGGATATAACTCTAAGTCATAAACACCAAACCGTATCTCCTGGATACACTTTCAATCTCAGCTTCGGACATCAGCAATATTTTCCACCTAAGGATGATGATTGAGCGACATGCTGAGCATTTTATGTACCTAACGATGACTGATGAATGTCGGTAACTCCTTGACCTTACCAAGTTTTCCATATTCTGTCAGATGTGATGTGACAGGTCGTCATCACGGAGAACGAGGAATCCTGTCACAGTGTTACTGTTTATTTCGACTTGTGGAAAGATGAGATGACCTGATCCGATTGAACCGTATGCGACCCGCACAAAAAATTTGGCGATGATTTTCGGCAAGTGGATTCGGTCCCAGGTTGAGAAAAAGAGCAAAATTAGAATATTTTTGAAATCTTTATGTTAATGTGGACCGTCCTTCCAATTAAATAAAAAAATAAAAATAACCTGACATTTCAGAGTCGCTGAAGAAGTGTTTGAAGATAGCCATGATAAAGGAACAAAGTAGCATAGCACATAACAACCTAACACTCTTGGTATAGGTCAGATTATTCGCACAAGGCAGTCAGGCTTATTTTACTTAAAAATGAATAAATCCACTACTCGAAAATTTAGAAAATATAGCGCCGCAGAGATTTTAAACTGTGAGAGTTCGAAAGAAAAAAACACCAGAAAACCCAAGGGCACGGATTAAATTTTCCGGACGCTACATATTCAGTGACTTAAAGTGACAGACAAGGATGATGGATCCATTTTTTTCCCGCGTGACACCCGAAATCCAGCACTGAATTTTCTAATTTAGTTGATTTCAAATCAGTGACTCCCAAGTATGAGTTCATAGTCATCAGTCCCTGATTTTTTTTTCCGGAAATTTGAAATAATTACGCTTAAACATACACAGACAATGTACACTATGTCATGATCTTTTAAATTGGCTGAGCGTCGAGGTATCTCACTCGCAGACAAAAATATCCCCACACAGACCTAAACGAGGAAATTTGAAATGTTTCGCGGTTTTTTGAGAAAACTCATTGGCATATTCATTAGCCGCTCTGAATTTTGGAAGAGACAATCCGGCTGAAAATTCCATCGTTTAAGTTCGCATCAATTTTAGTTCAAGACAGCTTTCCAGGAATGCGACTTCTAGGCAGGCTTACCACGTTCCCCGATAGGTTACGTTTTTAAAATTGTTCTATAAGCGCTCGTAACCTTTGCTCTTCTTCGCAAGCACGTTCTTTTCATGAATATAAACCGTGCAAAAGTGGTCTGTTTTTCTCGCGCTATTTCAGTATCGTTGGCAAACATGAAAAGCACTTATTTTAGAGGGCAAAATTGGCATTCGCTTATTCAGTTCGCGGTAATGCAAACTGCCACAGTGAAAAACTGTCATCTTTCACTTGGAAACTTTAATTCATTCTTTTCCTTGCATTAATAACACTGCGTTATGAAATGTTTCACCTTTTCTGCTCAATTCCTTAAAATAGTGAACGTTTTGAAACGACGCGACGTTGCAGTTATGAATCGTATTTTCAACTTTTACTATATATGGATATCAGATATGCAAGGTATGAAAAACTTTTAAGTCACGGGCGGGATTCAGCATAGTGAGCACTGTTGATAAAGCGTTTGAATATAAATTCAAACTAAAATAAAAAAACTAAATAAATCACATTAAATTAGCATAAGTAATAACATTATACACTGGGTTTGCAATAACATGTAAATCTGAGAACATTTCCTTAAATTTCAATATCGATAAGCTTATGGCTAAACTAAAAAACCAACTAATTCAACTGCAACTCTTCAAAATGTACGCGTAAGATACATTTTTAGATGGTGAATAATACTCCTCCTCACGGTACCTTTTCTGCGGAAAAATTTCAAGCTAGAGAGTTGATTTATTCCCTTTTGAGGAGACCCACTGCATTTTGCAATGAGGACCTAAATCAACTGCAAAACTTCAAAATGTACGTGTAAGATACATTTTTAGATGGTGAATAATAATCAATGTTACAGTATGCTACCTCTACAATCTAACCTGTTTGGCGTATCAAATACGATCTATTTTCCTGCCGTGCTAAGGAAAAACGCCGTATGAACATTGGAGAGTTGTCAAAATTCCCCGGATAAAACATGTATTTTTGGGGAAAGTTTGCATATTTTCCTTTGAAATTGTCAGATATTTCAGATCAAATTGCGAACAAAACTGTCTGAAAAATTTGAAGAAAAATATTCCCGATTTTCTCAATAAACACTGGGGAAAAAACACATTGGATTTAGAGTCCAGACTCTTAAAAACATCGACAGGAAAAAATACTCTTGATTCAATCGGATTTTTGCTTAAATCAAGAAAAGCCTCTTAATTTGAGAGGATTTCCTTGTGATTAAAGCAAAAATCTGATTGAATCAAGAGTATTTTTTCTTGTCAATGTTTTCAAGAGTGTGGACTCTAGATCCGATGTGGTTTTTTTTTTTTTTTTTTTTTTTTTTTTTTTTTTTTTTTTTCCCTAGTGAATTCGTTTTATTTTGAAAGAAATATGACAACGACTGAGGGTTTATACGGCGTTCTTCCTTGGCACAGCGGTATTGATGCGACCATATTTTACATTATTTTACCTTAACGAAGTGTAGGAAGCGAGTAAAAACTGAAAAGCGGCGAGGTTTTAGCGCACGTGTAAGTGTGTAAACGTGTACATAATGTTTAGCGTATTTACATTCTGCCGTCCGCTCGCCACAAAGGAGAGCGCAATTCCATCTGAAGCCGTCAAGCTCCTAGCGCGGATCGGATCGGATCTGGCCGGGTGAAAGAGATGAAATAAAGCGGCAATAAATAGCAATTAAAATGCAAATCGGAGTGGGATCCGATCAACAAGATATTATTTCATAGTTCCCAGATCTAGATCTCAGCCGGCCGGCAACATAAGTAAGGCATCACTGTGTGCAAGTCACGTTGCCAGCGTTGGCAAAGTCGAAGAAAAAGGCGTTTCCAGACTCTTAAAAAATTCGACACGAAAAAATACTGTTGATTCAATCGGATTTTCCCTTGAATCGAGAGGCCAACCTCTTAATTTAAAAGGATTTCCTTTTTGTTCAAGCGAATATCCGATTGAATCCAGAGTATTTTTTCTTGTCGAATTATTTAAGAGCACTGGAAAAAAAACACATTGGATCTACAGTAAATAAAGAACCAAGCCTCTTAATTTAAGCGGATTTCGTTTTGATTCAAGCAAAAATCCGATTGAATCAAGAGTATTTTTTCTTGTCAATGTTTTCAAGAGTCTGAACTCTAAATCCAATGTGTTTTTTTTTTCCAGTGAAGGAAAAGGCGTTGCGAAGCACAGAAAATGAGTACGTTGGAAAAAAAGTCTCTTGGATCCGAAGTCCAGACTCTTAAAAAATTCGACAAGAAAAAATACTGTTCATTCAATCGGATTTTCCCTTGAATCGAGAGCCCAACCTCTTAATTTAAGCGGATTTCCTTTTTGTTCAATCAAATATCCGATTGAATCCTGAGTATTTTTTCTTGTCGAATTGTTTAAGAGTCTAAACTCCGTATCCAAGATGCTTTTTATTCAGTGTATCTACACTCAAAAAATTGATGAAGATAATTTGCGATTTTACTAAGTCTCTTTTGTTTTGCAAAATTGAAGAGTAACTTCGACAAAATCACTGCCGTGCAGCATATGAAAATTCATAAAACGCGCAACTGTGGGTATTCGCATTAAAACGCTGAATTAATGTTCCAAATCAACCAGTTCAAAGCTTCGTCTTTCTCTAAAGTTATACAAAGAGATACAAGTCTTCAGAAAAAATTCACTTCGATAAAGCTGGCAACCATGAAACATTCGAATTTAAGTGAATACCCTGGGAAATCATGCTCTCAATATTCCATCATATTGTACCAAACATTCCGACGTGATACCAGGAAATTTGCATGATTCATTTTTAAACATCGTGTAGGAGAATGTATCACTTTTCCTTGATAAAGTTTTCTGCATGCGAGAAAAATTCCATGCATCTGTCCATAGCTCACTGGAATTCTCAGAAATCAAGTTCTTCGTGTTTTGACCTAGAGGAAAATTCTTTCGACGGATAGGTGACGGCTCAAAACTTGGCAAATGTCGCCACTAAACATGAATATCGCATTCGCCTGATGGAGGATGCGACAAAAATAATAGCGGACCCTCTGGAACGATATTTCT